GCCCTGCCGCTGTCACGTCAGAGACACGGCAAACGAACAATTCCTATCAGGGAGGGGATGTGTTTCTTAAAAGCATGAGAAACCTCAACTGCACAGCGACCAGGGATGAGTCTTGGAAACTTACAGCCAACCTCCCTTTTCTTCTGGGCTATAATAATAATTTATAATATTTTTTTAAAACTTAAAAATAGCATGAAATACCATACAGAATCTTAAATCTGAACACACAAGGGGTTTGTAAGAATTCATACCTTGTCTCCATGTATTTTATGAGTTAAGGGTTTAAACATTCCTCTTCCAGCTCTGGCTTCAACAACTTCCTCACCAAAAATATAAAACATTTTAATGCAGATGTCATTAGGCCAGAGCAAATACGTAGAACAAACCACGGAAATATACCTAAAGGCACATCACCCGCTGGCATTTTCAAGTCCTGTTTTTATTAACAATATAAAGTTATCCTTACCGTCAGATGAAATCATGGAGCTCTTCTCGCAGGGCAGGGAGAACAGCGTTGCCTTCCTGCTGCCTGCTTCTCTGCTGCTCAGTGCTTTTAAATCCTTGGTGTCAGACAAGCAGCTGACTTTGACAGTTTTAAGATTATTGTAGCTTAGGCGGTTAGCCTGCCTCATCAGACACGCTGATGGGATAAAGAGTCTAATTATTTAAGCAGAGCATCCTGCGGTCACTAAGCTCTGTGCACTGAAAGCAGTTTCTGCAATTGCTTTTACGCTATTTGAACTTTTTCACCAGGAAGGACCTCCGCAGGATCTGACCCAGCCATAGGTCTGGGAGTAACAAGAAGCTACAAGTGGCAGGATGGACAGACAGCGTCTGCACCCAGATCAGTGCTAACTCCATCAACAGTTCCCAGTTGGTGTGCTCTTAGAACAGAAACCAACACAAAGCTTCACCCACTAAACTCTTAACATTACACCTAAGGCCCAAGTGTTGAATTCTGACAATTACATGTTGCCTCCTCCATGAATTACACAAGATTGTGACATGAGGAGGTAAGGAATCAGAGTTTAAATCCATTCCCAAATATTAGGGCTAAGCAAGAATAACGACTGCAGCTCTGGGAAGAAGCCACGACACTTGGCGTAGACCAGCAAAGCCCCAAACCCATACAACCCACTGCATTTCAAACTGTCCAGAACATTTAAGACTTTGAAATTTCACGTCTCTGTCACCTTGTAGGAGGGACAAGTTCCTTCACACAAACCTTTTCCCAGCAATTCTCTCCCCATCGGAGTCGTATTTGATGCCAAGTACTAGGACAAATCTCTCCCTTGGAGTAAAAATGCTTCAAAAAGAAAAAAAAAATATCATTTTTCTCTATTTATTCTGTACAAAAAAACAACTTACAAAATAGAGCCGTGTTTTTAATCAAATATTATATACATGATCTGTCCCTATACGAAAATAGCTATACAGGAAAGCAATTCCAGCAGGTCAGGCTGCAGCTTCTGCTGTTTTTTTTTCCAGCAGGCTTATTCATCACATTTATATATATTCACACGCCTGTCTAACCTGTTTCACCACAACTGGAAATTTTTTCCATGTTGTGGTACCAGTTTTAGTCCACAGAAGTAAAATGTCAACAGCTGCTTTAATCAGCCTTGAACAACCCCGTCTTGTTTGTACTTCAGAATTTGTTTAAACTTGTAATCGGTTGGTTTCCACACACAAAAACACAGCAACTATTTTGACAGTGATGCTTGACGTGCTTCATTTAAGAAGAAAAACATGTTTACTAATGATCTCTTTTTTAAAAAAAATTTCTTTATTTCTGGAGATTTCATCATCTGGATTTAGGCTTGTAAAGATAAAAGCCACTAAATATAGGATGTTAATACTGGCACAAATATCCTTGTCAGCAATATTTCTTTATTACGATTGAGATTTGAAAACTGGCTGCGGGACTGTAATTCCATACCGTGAGAGGTCTAGCAGCTTCGGGCTTGCTCAGATATTTCCCTGCAGAGTCAGATGGCAAAAACATTTCTTGTATTTTTCTTCAAGACTTTCCAGTACCTGGCTACTGAAAGAGAGGACGAGACTTCCTCTATGGACCCTCTCATCCTCTATGGACCCTCTCATCTTTACCCAGGCGACTATAACGAAACATTCCCCCAAATAATTTATGACGGTATTATCTGACAGCCGTGGCCCAAGTGTCGTTTGTGGGGAGAGTGGGAAGAACCCATCCTGGAGGGATGCAGCTTCCTTCGGGGTGATCAGCTGGCACCAGGTACTGATCCCATTCGTGCCTTTAACAGAGAAAGCGTTGTTTGAGAGGAGAGCTGGTATGAGTTTGGTAATAAGATCTGTTATATCTCATGTTATATAATTTTCCATACTGGTCAATACACAAAACACTATAAATTGACTCTGAAACATGTTTTTCAAAACACAAATGCGGAAATTATAGGTACTGTTATATTAAACGGAATGGTTATGCAGGAAAGCGCACTCTGCCTCACATGGGTGTCTGCTGGATACAACTCTACCAAGCTAGAAGCTTGATCCTTGGCTGATAAAACAGGAATTCATTGCATAACTATATTTGGAAGGTTAGAAACCAAGAGACTCTAATTTTACAATCTCAACAAACAAGTTACTTGTCACCTTTGATAACACAATACAGACTTTGTTTGGTCTTACCTGATCTGAATGAGAGCTGCTACAGAATGCTCAGCTTGTAAGTAATACTCTCGAAAGGGCTGCAATAGATGGGCGAGAGGAAATTCACCTGGTAAAACACAAACAGAGAAATCGTTCCATAAATCAGAGAGAACTTTGATTACAGAAAGTCTTAGAAGCCTCAAATTTGCCAACTCATTTGCTACTCCCCAGCTATAACTCGAAGTCACTTATCCATATAATACACTAAGGACTATTTACATGTTTTGCACATCTCCACATCCTTACCAGAGCTGTCAGAAGCAAGCCAAGACCAGAAAATTTCCTGCTGCCATCCTCTAAACAAGGGGAACGTATGGACAGCCAAACTTTACACATTACCCGAGCTGTGGTTACCAAATGACCAGACTAAAGCATTTGTTGTGTGCTGGAAGTCTTCAATCCATTCTGTTTATTTTCACTTCAGCTTCATTTACAACCTCTTCTTGCAAAACATTATGAAATCAGCTTGAGATATACTGCTGTCTACACTGAAGGGCTAAACAGTTCTTCCTACACCACGTGTTAACAGCACACTACGTTTAGCCCATCTTTTCCTCAAAGCATAAATTACTCCAGTGGATAATTTCTTTCTCAACTGCTTTTGCACCTGCATTGTAAACCCCGTGTCTATGAGATGGGAGTGTGGTGTGGAAAAATAAAGCAGAATTTACCTGGATCCCCAAACAGCTTGGAATCAATTTCGAGTTTTTGCTGGAGAAGTTTTTCCCTTTCCTTCTTCTGCTTCTTTTCCATTTCTCTCTTCCTTTCTTCCTCCTGTTCTCCCTCCAACATAACTCTTAATGCTCTCTCCTCAGCTTCATACAGCTCTGTCCGGTTTTTGAGCAACGTTTTGAGACTCTCCACCTGATTTTCAAATGCTTCGTCTGCTGAGGGAGGCGGGCAAACACCTAAACAGAAAAAGAATTAATTTTAAATTTTCAAATTCAGAAGAGGCTCTGTTATCAGACATGAGAGCAGAGCTGGCAAAAAAGTTTGGTAAAAATCTCGAAATTAACCTTTCCTGCCAGCAGCCTCTTTTCTCAGTTTCCGAAGCTTTTCCAATGCACGCAGGATGTCCACCATCCTCTTTGTGTCTGCTTGTTTCTTCCTTACTTCAGATAAGACGCTGTCTGCAGCAGCCTTAAGTTCTCTTTCCTGTGAAAGAAAGAAAAAAACCCAACAGGATGTGTGAAATATCCCACATAGACAAGAATGAACAGGTATTGTCAAAAAGATTAGCGAAGCACTGGAGATCAGAATGACCTCTTAGGAACACAGCCATCGCAAATATGTCAACCATCCAACCTTGGCTTTTTATAAAAAAGCTAAAACACAATAGACTTTGGGAAACAAAAAAAGAATGCTGAGCAAGTCATAAATTTGGGCTAAATGGCTAAGGAATTCATAAAGCCTGATAACCTTTAACCAAAGAGAGTTAGGAAAAACATTAACAAACATAAACCATCCAGACTCTAGGGCTCAGCAGTTACAGAACATTCACATGCCACAGCGTGAACACAAAACCTTTCCCAACAGCTGCTCTGCACCATCCCAATGGCAGACCTAGCCCCAGCAGAGGGGCAGCTCTTCAGCCAATAGGCAACACAAAGGTGCCCACAGCACTTCCCAGCAAGCCTAATTTGAGAGGTTTTTAAATTTGAAGTCATCTTACTTCCTGGTGAGACCAAAAAGCTCACAAACAACAAGCTTTACAAGGACAAAGCCAGCAGGCAAGGCTTATAGTTACTGAAACAGCGCTGATCACCGTAGGGTAGCTGTGAGCACCGTGGGGCAGGCTGAGAGCTTGGGATCAGAGAAGAAGACCTCCACATGCAACCACGAGTTCAGAAACCACTTAAACCCCAACTCAGGGGTTGTCAAGGCCTAGGATGTGAGCGTGGCAAAGCTGAGCTGTCCACCATGACTTTTTAAGGAAGAAACAGGGCTGCAAGCTTTGGAAACACATCTCCAAGCAAGCTGGACTCATGCAGCACCCAAGTAGCACCCACTGAACCATGGGGCCAAAGCCACCTGCCAGACAGGCACAGCCCGTTACCGGCAGCTCTCCCACAGTTCCACCGCCCTGTCCTGCACCCCAGAGGGATGGGCGGGAGTCCTGTGAGGCCCCACTGAGCTGGGGGAGGCAGGACCAGGCCGCTCAGGACCGTACCCGGTTCTTCTCCTCCACCTCCTGGATGCACTTGACCCTCCACTGGTCGATCTTGGCCTCCCGCTCAGCAGCCCGGGCCGCCTCCTCCTCCTTGGCCGCTTTGGCTTCTTGCTTCCTCCGCTGCAGCCGCAGCTTCCTCTTCCTCGCCCTCTCGGCCTTCCTCCGCAGCGCCTCCCGGTAGCCGGGCTCCCTCAGGGGCCGCACGATGTCCCGCAGCTCCCCCATCGCCTCCTCCGCTTCTCCCCTC